GAGATGTTATAATGTTCTCTTCAGATCCTGATTTCAAATGGAGAACTTAAGTTCTAACTTGAAGGTTCTAATAAGTCCTCCAAAAACTAGTCATTTAGATGCTCAGATTGGCAACTTAACGTTTTACATCCAGACTCAAAATCCCAGTTACTTCATTATTCTTTTAAAGATTGTCCTGCTTTTTAGTCACTCAAAGGGTTTTTGAAATACAATGTGTTTGTCAAATGTTTGTGAACATTGTCTCAGAAAATGTTGTGGACAGAATTCTTTTTGCTCTGTGGCAATGCATACAACACTAAGGATGGACAAAATTTGAACTTTTTAGTAAAAAGACCCCAAGTTTAGATCAAGATCTAAACAGAGGACCCTTTATATCATTTCTTTCTTCCCCTTTCATTTCCATCTCTCTTTCATGGTATATGTTTGGACTCGGGTCCTATTTACAGCTTAATCTGTGGAGAAGAGCTCCAGCTCTTATATGTATTTATTTATATGTATTAATTATTTTTTATTATAGTGGGAGCTCATAGGAATCCCAGCTGAGGATCAGCACTCAGTTGTGGCAGGGGCTGCAGAAACAGAGCAATTTGCCCTGACCGTTTACATGATGGGCAAGGTTAACTCCCATAAATAATGCATATTAGGAAAACAATTTTTGTTTTAATTGCAGGTACTTGGCTTTTAGCATCCTGGGGTACCCCAGAGATGAGTTACGGCATGAGGCTGAGATTCAGAGATGCTAAATGTGACAATGAGGAAGATTACTCATATGACGTTATGGATTTTGCTTCCACCAAGACCGTTAAAAATGCTCTTTCCACCTCAGTTGAAGATGAGGGAGGAGAAGAAGGTGAGAAAGAGGACTTGGATTATCAGGACTACCTGGCCGCTGCTTACTCCATCCGAAGCTCAAGGAAGTCAGAAGGCAATGAAGAAACACAAAACCTTACAGCACTGGCCTGGGAACAGTACTCTGGCACTGACGCTGCGAGTTCTGAGATGGCCGTTGGCTCAGGTCTAACATCTATAAATAGCAGTGAATCTGCAAACTCCTACATGTTCTTAGAAAGTCGTATCACTCCTCTTCCCCTAACTGCGGCTGAAACATTCCAGTCAAATCACACATCAGTCACAGCAGAAGGGGATGTGTTTTTGACTCGCTCAAGTGATGGAAAGCCTGACTTGGTATTTGAGAATAGAAGCCAAAGCAATTATGGAATAGATCATAGTAATATGTCTGCAGGTGAACACTTGCTGAGCAATGGGGAAGCCCAAATGAAAATTGCCGAAGAGCTTCTCACTGATGGAAAGGACAGTCAATTTTTTTCAGAAGAACATCAGGAGGAAAGCACAGGAGGAGGAAATGATAACATTGATCATAAAAGGAACAGGCGAAACTCACTGGCCACTAAATTTTACTCCATCCAAAAGATGAACGCCCTTCTAAGTCATGTACGAAATAAAAATGTCTCATTCTCTGACAGGACAAATGCACCTCATTCCATGCATCATCTGGAGAACACAACCAATATAGCCATGGTGGGAACTGGCCAGCTTCCGAGTGATTATGATGATGAACTGGAAGAGGAGGAAACTAAGATGGGAAATGCCATGCATGCAATTAACTTCACACTTGCTTTGGAACTCACTGTAGAAAGAAACGGGTCTAACACACACAGCCTCTCTGGACTCAACCTATCCAAAGATAAACAGGCAGACACTTCTTTAGATGATCCATTAGGTGATATAAGCCCTAATTCCAGCCCTGCAATAGTGAAGAACTTATTTGAAGCATCATTGCCCAGGACTGTCAAGTATTCATCTAAGATGACAAACGAGGAATGGAATTTGGTCTCTGCAAAGGAGAGTCTGGGATTAGAGGCAAATTTAGATAAGTCTGTTAGTGGTAAATTAAATCATGGTAGCAGAAATGGTACAGTATTCCTAAGCGAGAAGCATATGAAGAAGTACTCGCATCTAATGGAAGGGAAACAGAGAGGGAGCCACATGCACCCAACTCGGAAAGGAAAGGAGAGGAACAAGAATGATACTTTGAGTACATTTGGAACCTTCATCAAGACTCGAAGGAAGAAAAAAGAATATCCGAAGAATGCTCACTTGCTGAGCCCAAGGAGTAAAAAGCCGCTCAGACTCACCAAGCCTACTGTGAAGTTCAACTGCACGTTGTTCCCAAGTGAGACCAACCACACAACACCACCATGTTACTTTAACACAACGGGGACACCCAATGCTGCCAGCCATACAGTGCATCTGAGCAGAGCCAACCACGAAGGGTTGGCAAACTACACGCTGACCCCACGACAGTTTAAACCATCCATCATGATTGGACTTCCCCATGAAAATGGGGACTATGAATATTTTACAGGAGACTTTTACAGTGAGGAAACATCAGGTGATGAATATGAATACCATTATGTGACCTTTGAAGACCCATACATGACAGACCCAAAAGTGAATATCAAAGAACAACGTAATCCAGATACTATTGCTGGACATTACCTGCGTAGCAAAGGGAATGAGAGGAGATACTACATTGCAGCTGAAGAGGTTTTGTGGGACTATGCAGGATTTCAAAAAAGGTTTGGCTAAATCCTTTGCTTTCGTTTGGCACACCATCCTAATACATGCTAGGAGAATATGGGTTCAGATGCGGATAAAATTAAAAGCATCTATAATGCGCAATGTGATTGGCAACATTTCAGTTACAGAACCCTGTGGATTTTCCTTGGAAGGTGGGGAACCACTTAGAAATGTTATATGGAGAAATTACTGTAAGAACAGCAAAAGTAAGAACTCTGTTTTTCCTTAGCCCCCTTTCGTAGATTCACTAGAAACAGTCTTTAAAACAAAAGTTGAAAAACCTACCGTAACAGGTAGGTAGGGGAATTTCCAGTTAGTTTTGCTGTACTTGAATGAGCTGTTTTACTTTCACCTTGAGTTCTTGAATGCTAAAGAAGAGATAGGATAGAGACTTGTTTGTACAAAGTCTTTCCAGGAATTAAATGGACTGAATGACCTAATATAGAAAGGGTGTGCTTATAAGCAGAGTGAAATGACGCAGTTTCTAGCATTAGCAAGAAGTTGTTCTAGTGTCTCAGTTTTGTGCTCTAAAATTGGATGATAATATTTTCCAACCTCTCAAGGCTGTAAAAAATACGTGGAAGATGTGATTAAGGGCACTGATGATGGGGACTGCCTTACACTTAAAGATAAAGGTGCATGAATTGTTGCGTTGTTGTTTGCACTGTCTTGAGAAATCAGAAACTCACTAGATCGCCAACCACAAATCCTAATGTTGAAGATTTTTCTTATGTTTTGACAGGGAAGATTGCCCCCCATGTCACACTAAAGAGTATATGTGACTTAAGAGAGACTCCATACTAAAAAATCAAAATTCATATGAATTAAGATCACTGCTAACCCTACAATGGGTAAAATTTCTAGTCATTTTTCAGCAAAAAGCTGAACTTTGCGGTCCTTGAAATGAACAAAACCTAAACTGCCTGTTTTGGCACAACTTCAGTTTTTATCACAAGCACCAAAAATAGGAGCAGGAAT